GAATTTTGACAAATCCAAAAAAGATTTAAAAAAGGCAATATATAATAAACAGTAAATGATAATTCAAAAACTTGCTGCACCAAACACATGACCACGCAACAAACCTTCGCTCATCGCCTCCCTCGGTGGCGCCACCTCCTGCGCTGCCGCGGAAACGACGTGACCTTGATGCAGACATACGATCACCATCGTCATCATCGTCATCATCGTTATTATCGTCATCATCGTCATCATCGTCGACGTCCTTGCCGGCTCGCTTGTCGCTCTCCCCTGATAGGTTGACTAGCAGGTCGGCATAGAAACTCAGATCACTGCTGTCGTCTGTGTGTGAGAAAGATGTCGTATTAGCACAAAAAAACAGATTCTCCGATTTTGTTCAAATTCACAATAGTAATAATTTTGCTACCATTTTAACAATTGTCTCAAGTACACGTAGTAATTCTTATAGTCTTATTATTATATAATAACAACCAACAAAAATAATAACACTATCAATGATAATAACAGAAATATTAATAATAATAGTAACAATAACTTTCGGAAGTTGTTCAATTGCACAGAGAAACCAGTGGACGGCAACCAGTAGACGAATCTCAACAGATCAACGGTCGACAAGGTCAAAAGTCAACCTCGACCAAACGCGCCACCGGTTGCTGCACGACCGTCGAGACGTACCGGCATCGGCGGCGCCACCTTCCGGCGCGTCCCAGAAGCGCTGCGACATCAGCGCCGACTCGCGATCGTCGTCATCGTCATCGTCATCATCACGGTCACGGCCGCCATCACCGGCCGCGCGGCCGGACGTCGGAGACAGTACGCTGTCATCGTCCGGGGCGACGTCGAAAAACAAATCCATGATGTCATCGTCGTCATCGTTCGCTCCTGTGAAACAAATGACCGTTACTAATCACCCCACTGGCAATGCATTGACCTGCAAGCGAATACTTAAGGGGGCGTGGGTATTGACTACAATGTACAAGGAGTAGTGTCCTAATAACCCCTTTCCTATATGTAAGTTTCTTAGTTTTTTAAAGTACTAAAACTAAGTTTGAACTGAGTATTTAAAAATAAAATACAGGTTTTAAATAAAGTACAGTTATTTTTTTTAAGTTTTTTTTTTTAAATGCAATAAAAAAACTAGTTTTTTGAAAGTTTTTCAAAAGCGCTAACAAATTTTCTTAAAACGACTTCCGCAGCAGGTGTTCCACTGCAGTCTCCGTGTGACCGCCGCACTCACCTGCACCTGGTGTGCGCGGTCGTTCAAAGACCTGACTGCCCGACACGACGCTAGCCACAACCTCCTCGTCGACGAGTGGCTCCACCTGTGGGGCAGAATCGGATTCATTCTCCACCTTCCCTCGGACGCTCGCTGCAAATATGAAAAAGTGCAAAATATTGTTTTCAAGATTGGGACGGTATCGAATTTTTGACTTTGCCTATTTAAAGAATTTTAAGAATTTTCGACTTCACCTTAACTATTTTTTTCTCGACTAAGTTTCGTGCAAATTATTGCAGACTTTCTTGTGGCATTTTAGATCGTCTTCAATGTGGAGTTTTGATATTCAATGCTGCCATCTACTGTAGGTTGTAAAGATTAGGGTTAGGTAAAGGTTGTTAACCTAATCTTACTGAAGAGCTAGTCTTTCTGTAGATATGGCGACTGTGCTGTTAACACGCTTTTGTCTTACAAAATAAATGCCTATTTTGACAAAACTTAACATTCAACTCATAATGCTAACGTAAAATATGCGAGGATTTTTCGCACAGAATCGAAGAGCAACTCCGGAAACGATATCCGACAGAAACGAAAGAGTCAACATAAAATCTTACGAAGGAATATCATAGGAATCTTACGAGGGAATACACATCTGTAGGAATCCCACCCCTCAACTAGCTACACATCACAGAGGTAGAAATTAACTTTTGAACAAGGAGTCCAACAGACACCCTGCCCTCAAAAGAAGGAATCCGCAGTCTGAACGTTCAAAATTACAGATATTAACAATAACACGTTCTTATTTTGAAGATTCATGCGGTTGCACGTCTGCCAAAATTTTCTTGGACATTTGAAAAATACGGTAATTCCACGAGGCCGTGCTCTGGAACGAACTAGTTAGTATGGCAGAATTTTCATAGAGTCACACGAACTCCTGCATATGTCAAATCAGGGAGTCCGGCAGTATATCAGGAGTATTCGACTCCGGACCCGCGTTAATTTCGCACCCTGCATCATAATCGAAGAACAAACGACCGTGACAAACAAAACAACCCGATGAATCGCGAAAGATGAGTCAAGCACGCTCTATTGTTTCTGAGATTTTCGACGCGCAGACCCACCTTCCAACTGTGAATGGTGATGCTCCAACAAAAGAACACTCATCGTGCGCGTGCTGCCACCTAGTGGAAACGGCTGGGATCGCTCGAAATCCGTCACTGGAAAACGAGTCCAGAGTTTTGATGTTATTTGCAACTTGTTTTTGTAAAATTGTAATTTGTAACTGCGAGTTAACTACTCTCTCTCTCTCTCTCTCTCTCTCCCCCTCCCTCCCTCTCCTCTCTCTCCTTCCTTCTACACACATATACACCAGAGAAAAAAATACTTTTTTCTACGGGAGCTCTTTTTCAAAGGTTTTGTGAAAAAAATACTCTCGTCAAATATTTTAGCGGAGCTATTTTGAGCCTCACGGGAGCGATTTCGGAGGTTTGAAGAGCGAATCGCTCGTCGTCACCGTGTATTTTTTACAGTGATATATACGTACAACAAACTTGTTTCTCGTGGCAGAAATTCCTCTATCTCACTTCACTCCCCTCTCTCCCTCTCCCCTCCCTGCCTCCCTCTCCCCTCCCTCCTGCCTCCCCCTCCCTCCTCCCCTCCCGCCTCCCCTCCCTCTCTCCCCTGCCTTTCCCCCGTCCCTCCTCCCTCTCTCTCTCTTCCCTCTACACACATATATACGTGTATGCGTTGTGTACGTGTATATGTACACATACGTCAACAAACTCTTGTTCTCCCGCAGAAACTCCTCTATCTGCTGACGATACACAAGCTCGCTGCTCGTCGGTGCTGCCCCCTGGCGGTCCTGCGAGGGCGCCGGCGTCAGCGTTGGTCGGCGTTGTCGGCGCGTCGCCTCCGCTCTCCGCTCGTCCTCCCACAGAGCGATCAACCACCGGGTTCTAGCTCCTGACCTGTACGACGGTAATAATATACGTATCATATATATATACATATATATATGTACCCTCTCCGCTGTAGACCCCTTGATCGTGTCCACGAGAAACAAGCGTGAGAGCTGCAAAACTGGACGAGCCAGATTCCTGGAGTGGGTTTCCACTGATGTGGATTTAAACCCTTGAGTCCAGTATAAAATAAAGAAACCGAAAAACAACAACAACACAACATATAATTATATATTCTTTATATATTATATTTTATATAATTATATATTATAGAAATTATATATAATATCATTATTATTATTATTATTATTATTATTATTTCCATACTATATATATATATATATATATATATATATATATATATATATAATATATATATATAGTATGTAAATAATAAATAATGATTAATGGTAATGATAATCTGATATATGATAATAACATATAATGAGGAGAAATCATTATAATAATGATAAAGAACTTCATTTTTCTTTTACGTTTTCTTTCTCTCTCTCTCTCTCTCTCTCTCCTCTCTCTCTCTGTTTATCTCTCTCTCTCTCTGTTATCTCTCTCTCTCTCTGTTCTCTCTCTCTCATTACTCTCTCTCTCTCTCTCTGCCTCTCTCTATTTCTTCTCTCTCTCTCTCTCTCTCTATATATATATATATATTTATTTATTTTTTATTTATCTCTCTCTTCCCTCTCTCTTCTCTCTTTCTCTCTCCCTCATATCTTTCTCTCTCTCTCTCTCTCTATCTATCTATCTATCTAATCTCTCTCCTCTCTCTCTCTCTCTCTCTCTCTCTCCTCTCTCTCTCTCTCTCTCTTCTCTCTATATATATATAATATATATATATATATATATATATTAATATAGGTGGGGGCGGACTGACGTCACTTCCCCTAGCAACACTGCCGCTGAGCCGGGGCCGATGAAAACAAAGCGTGAATCAGCTATATTCAAGCCGGTACGGGAGATGACTGTACGCATATATTTGCTAATATATTGACTAATCGTGCGTCAATAAATACTCATATTCACAGAGAGTATAGCTAAGACATGTGTCTATAGGTATCTAGAATGTATTATGCCAAGATCTCCCGTACCGGCTTGAATTCATACTACTAGCTGTGAATATTGAGTTTATTGACGCACGAAGCGGCACTATTAGTCATGCTAGTCCTGCACGATTAGTTACGCGCGCGGAAGCAAATTTCAGATGATTTAATTTTTAAATTTCTAGATACCTATAGACACATGTCTTAGCTATACTCTCTATATGAATATTGAGTTTATTGACGCACGATTAGTCCAATATATTAGGCAAATATATGCGTACCGTAATCTCCCGTACCTCGCTTGAATATAGACACCGCCCGAATGGAGCCGCTGCTGTTCAAGAATTAGAGATGATGTCCAGATTGAGACCTATGTCATTTCCGTAAATGTGGGGGTAGCCCCTAAACTCGACAGGGGTGTTCTTAAAGTCTTCTTTGTTCATTTCGACGATAAACATTATGTGACTTCACAGGAAGTGTGCAAAAAACTGCTTTTCAGCGGAGACTACTCGCCCGTTTCCCACTGTTTCCTCACCATTGCTACGCCTCTTCGTTCTCCTGACTAATTGCTGTTTGCCATCTGTCTCTCCTCTCGGGCTACGGCAGCTCAAAGAATGATCGTTTTTTGTCACTTGAAAAAGACTGTGATTGCGGCATCCAAACACCACATAATTCCTTGCACTATGCGCTGCCGTGCATTGTGGCGGTGCGTTACTACGGTTTGTTATCATCGGCTCGAACTACATCGGTCAATAAGTCAAAAGTTCCCGGATGTCCGCCCCCACCTATAAATATATATCTAGCTATCTCCCCTCTCTTCTGATGCCCACTTGTTTCACACTTACTACGCGGCGGTCTCCGCTCCTATTCAGTATATCCTCGGCCGACGCATCCACCTCCAGATCACAGACGCTGATCCTAGCGACCTCTGGTGCAGCAGCATGTCCGCGGGAGGTTGTCTACGTGCCAGTAGGGGCGGTGGTGTCGCCCGACAAGGGGTGGGCGGAATCATCGCCACGGGCGGTGGGCACGGCGTTACCGTCTGAAAGAAGCGAGGGTGAAGCGCGTGTATGGATGGATGTATTTTACCGTAGTAGTATAATTTACCTCCGCCAGGTGGCGTGCAGAGGCTATGTTTTCACCGGGGAATGTTTGAGTGTTGGATTTGTGTGTTTGTGAACATTGCAGCGTTCAGTTCACTTCGCGCTAGGTGCGCTGGCTGCTAAGACTTACAAACACGCAAACCGACGGCTAAGGGCAACACAAGTCCCTCCCACCTGCACTGCTGCACTTAATCCGGATCCAATTGAATTATTTATAATTAATTAATTAATTTTCCCACGTTAATTAATTATTAATAAATAAGAAAAATTCCAACATTGAGGAATTCAGCTGCTTGGCGGAGGTCTGTGCTCTCCGAGTGCTCTAGTTAAATCTGTGTTAGTGAGTGGTAGCCTGGTAGATCGGCCACCTTGCACTGAAGGCCTTGTCTTACCTGTCTGTCTATCGTGTGTCTGTTGGCTTTGTCAGTCTGCATGCCTGTCTGTCTTGCCAGCCTGCCACCTGCAGCTAGACTGCCAGCCAGACCTGCTGCCTGCTGCCTGCCTAGCCTAGCCTGCCAGCCTGCTGCCTGCCAGCCTGCCTGTCGTGTCTGCATAATCTGCTTAACGTCACGCGGCGGGCACACTAACCTGTGAGCGCACGGCGGAACCTCGAGTGGCGCCACCCTACCTGGCAGAATGCACGGCGAACACTTCAAGCGGCGCACCTTACGGTTAGTCTGCGATGTGAGCTGACGAAACCTCAGCGCGGCCCCCCCCAAAACCTACTCGACGCGGGCGGATCACTGCGACGATAGCCGCGGCGTGGCGAACACACTTCCGACTAGCTGCGACGCACGGCGACCACCGTACTACGCGGCCTGATCGGCGAACCTCACGCGGCGCCACCTACCTGCGACGCACGCGGAACCTCACGCGGCGCCACCTACCTGCGAGCGGACGGCGGAACCTCACGCGGCGCCACCTACCTGCGAGCGGACGGCGGAACCTCACGCGGCGCCACCTACCTGCGAGCGCACGGCGGAACCTCACGCGGCCCAGCCGGACTAAGTTCATGCCGTAGAGGTTGTAGTCGACGAAGTACTGCATCGAGAACGTGAAGTGCGCCTGGTGCGGCTGGTACGTTCTATTGTTTATCGCGCCGGCAGCGAGCAGCTCCGCCGCCCTGCAACACGAGACGCGCATCAAGCCTCGGATTGGTCAGCCAAAGTCATCAAAGGTCAGATGAGGTCATCCAATCACGTGAGGTCGTCAAGGGTCATTTGAGGTCGGCCAAGGACGTGAGAGATCAGTTTAGATCATGGGAGGTCATTTGAGGTTGGCCAAGGTCATCTGATTGCATCTGGGGTCATCTTAGGTCAGGCGAGGTCAGTTAATAAAATTGGCGGGGAGTGGGTCATTGTCTTTACCACGCTTTATCTCATTCGACCAATGATTTTATTATGCCAGCGTTCTGTCCCAGGGCCCGTTATCAATAACATAGTAAATAAAACTTTATATTATCATTATATTATCCTATATTATCGATATAGAACTATCGTCAGTCTAAAACGTCGCAAGTTTAAAAAAAAAAGCTACAACTACTCGCGACTGGGTCACGAGCGGCGGCGGCGATGACCGTGATGATGACGATAGTTACCTACCTCTTCAGCATGCCGGGGTTGTAGAAGTAGATCTTCATGAACGGGCACTCGCTGCCATGGTAACCGTAGAAGGGCCTATGCGCAAACAAACACGCACATGTATACGTTAGTGGTCGTGGTAGTTGCTTCACGGTCATAGGTCTGTTGAGTTAGTGAGACTACGAAGCACTTGTTTTTCGGATTGATTTTGCTTCGGGCGTGCTTGCTGTAGGAATAGGTTAGGTGTGTGTCTGCGTGCGTGCGTGCATGCGTGCTTGGGTGCGTGCGTGCATGCGTGCGTACGTGCGTGCGTGCGTGCATACGTGTGGGTGCGTGGGTGCGTGGGTGCGTGCGTGCATACTCACTAGCTGACGAATTCCTACCTGCGAGAGACGGGGCGCGCGCAAACAAATAAATTTCTACAGGACCCTTCTCGTCCATCCCAGCCTGACCGCTGGCTAGCGTACTGGACACTCACATGCCGAGGACGATCGAAATCTTGTAAACGTGCTGCGTCTGTGCCCCGGGTTTTCCCAACGCCGAGTTCAGCGCTCGGTCGATGCCCGCCGCCATCTGGTGGAGATGCCTGTTGCCGGCGCCATCTGGGACAACTCCGGCGGGGACGCAGATGTAAGGAAAGATGCCGTGAAGATGAAGGCACGTCTTCTGACCTGCAACAACATCCTCGTTTAGGCCAAAACAAAATATAGGTGTGGTTACGGTTTCCCGACCGACCCTATTTATTCCCAGCGACCCTAAACATTTAATTGTCAATTTTCTTTAAAGTAAAAAAAAAAAATATATATGTCAATTGGACAGTTCCTGCTTCAAAAGGCACAACGCACATCTTTCGGACATGGTTCGTAAATAAAATATTTCAAGAAAATAAATGTTTTCCCTACCTACCTACCCTATTTTTTTCAGCATGTAACGGTAACCACACATATATTTTGTTTTGGCCTTAGGTTTTGATCGTCTCTGTGGACTCTATCATGTCAATTAATACTAATATCGGTTAATTAATCATAATATCATTACAAATTCAATATAAATGAAATAATAATATCAATTATAATATCATAAATCAACCATTTCTCTGAATAACAAGTTAAGTATTATTATCGGTTAGCCATTTCTACGAATGACGATTCGTCGATTCTTTTCAAATTCCGATTCCGGGTTTCCGACGAAAAAAATCGACGAATTGGATTCGTTTCTGATCGTATTTCGTCTCCTCACGTGAAATAATTCAAGTTTTAAGATAAATCTCTGACTATGTGTAACAGAATGACAGCTGAACCGCTGGATTTCTGCTCCACCCGTTGCCACAGCGACAGTACCTGCTGGCGTCGAACCAAAAATGCGCGCGATGGGAACGCGGAAGACTTCGGAACGGCGAAAGTCGGAGTAGCAGACGTCGAGACCGGCGACCGGTGGCGCCATGTAGTGGTCGGTTGTCACGATTCGCACAGAGAATGCGGGTGGCGGTGGCGACAAGAGGCCATCCCTCGTCGTCACCGCGGTCTCGTCTGCGAACGACAATTAACGTATTGCTAGCCTATTTTGACAAAACTTAACATTCAACTCATAATGCTAACGTAAAATATGCGAGGATTTTTCGCACAGAATCGAAGAGCAACTCCGGAAACGATATCCGACAGAAACGAATGAAGTCAACATAAAATCTTACGAAGGAATATCATAGGAATCTTACGAGGGAATACACATCTGTAGGAATCCCACCCCCTCAACTAGCTACACATCACAGGGGTAGAAATTAACTTTTGAACAAGGGAGTCCAACAGACACCCTGCCCTCAAAAAGAAGGAATCCGCAGCAAAATGAGAGAGTCCGCAGTCTGAAGTTCAAAATTACAGATATTAATAATAACACGTTCTTATTTTGAAGATTCATGCGGTTGCACGTCTGCCAAAATTTTCTTTGGACATTTGCTGGAAAAATACGGTAATTCCGTGAGGCCGTGCTCTGGAACGAACTAGTTAGTATGGCAGAATTTTCATAGAGTCACACGGACTCCTGCATATGTCAAATCAGGGAGTCCGGCAGTAAATCAGGGAGTATTCGACTCCGGAGTCCAGACCCGCGTTAATTTCGCACCCTGCATCACACACCGATGAACAAACGACCGTGAAAAAAAAAAAAACCCGATGAATCGCGAAAGATGAGTCAAGCACGCTCTATTGTTTCTGAGATTTCGACGCGCAGACCCACCTTCCAACTGTGAATGGTGATGCTCCACAAAAGAAGCACTCATCGCTGCGGTGCTGCCACCTAGTGGAAACGGCTGGGATCGCTCGAATCCGTCACTGGAAAACGAGTCACGAGTTGATGTTATTTGCAACTTTGTTTTTGTAAATTGTAATTTGTAACTGCGAGTTAACTACATCTCTCTCTCTCTATCCCTCCTCTCCCCCTCCCTCCCTCTCCTCTTCTCCTTCACTTCTACACACATATACACCAAGAAAAAAATACTTTTTTCACAGGAGCTCTTTTCAAAGGTTTGTGAAAAAAATAACTCTCGTCAAATATTTTACGGGAGCTATTTTAGCCTCACGGGAAGCGATTTCGGAGGTTTGAAAAGCGAATCGGCTCGTCGCTCACGTGTATTTTTTACAGTGATATATAACGTACAACAAACTTGTTCTCGTGCAGAAATTCTCTATCTCACTTCACTCCCCCTCTCTCCTCTCCCCTCCCTGCTCCCTCTCCCCTCCCTCCCCTGCCTCCCCCTCCCATCCTCCCCCTCCTGCCTCCCCTCCCTCTCTCCCCTGCCTATTCCCCGTCCCTCCTCCCCCCTCTCTCTCCTTCCCTCTACACACATATATACGTGTAATGCGTTGTGTAAAGTGTATATGTACACATACGTACACACAAACCTTGTTCTCCCGCAGAAACTCCTCTATCTGCTGACGATACAACAACTCGCTGCTCGGTCGGTGCTGCCCCCTGGCGGTCCTGCGAGGGCGCCGGCGTCAGCGTTGGGTCGGCGTTGTCGCGCGTCGCCTCCGCTCTCGCTCATCCTCCCACAGAGCGATCAACCCCGGGTTCTGAAGCTCCTGACCTGTACGACGGTAATATAATACGTCTATACATATATATATACATATATATATGTACCCTCTCCGCTGTAGACCCCTTGGATCGTGTCAAAGAGAACAAGCGTGAGAGCTGCCAAAACTGGACGAGCCAGATCCTGAAGTGGGTTCCACTGATGTGATTTAAACCCTTGAGTCCAGTATAAAATAAAGAAACCGAAAACAACAACAAACACAACATATAATTATATATCTTTAATATATTATAATTTTATATAAATTAATATATTATAGAATATATATAATATCATTATTATTATTATTATTATTATTATTATTTCCATACTATATATATATATATATATATATATATATATATATATATATATATATATATATATGTATGTAAATAATAATAATAATGATAATGGTAATGATAATCTGATTATGATAAATAACATAATGAGGAGAAATCATTATAATAATGATAAAGAACTTCATTTTTCTTTTACGTTTTCTTTCTCTCTCTCTTCGTCATCTCTCTCTCTCTCTCTCTGTTTTTCTCTCTCTCTCTCTCTGTTATCTTCTCTCTCTCTCTGTCTCTCCTCTCTCTTACTCTCTCTCTCTCTCTCTGGCCTCTCTCTATTTCTCTCTCTCTCTCTCTCTCTATATATATAATATATATTTATTTATTTATATTTATTTATCTCTCTCTCTCCCTCTCTCTTCTCTCTTTCTCTCTCCCTCCATAATCTTTTCTCTCTCTCTCTCTCATCTATCTATCTATCTATCTATCTCTCTCTCTCTCTCATCTCTCTCTCTCTCTCTCTCTCTCTCTCC